TACGCCGTTTCAAACGACCACATCACCATTGCAAAGGATTATTACCTGGACGACAATCTGGACTGTTCGCAGCAGAACCCCAACAAAAGAGACGTCATTAATGTGTTTGAAAATGGTGAGAAAACCAAGAAAGTGAAGCGATTCATGACTAGGACACTGAAGGAAACATTCAGGATATTCAAGAAAGCTCACCCAGACATAAAAATTGGCCACTCCAAGTTTTATTCACTGCGTCCAAAGTGGGTCAAGATGCACCCATCGCATGAGGTGTGCATTTGTATTTATTGCAACAACATGGAGCTGTGTTGCACAGCTCTCAGCAATTTTCTAAATAAGACTGTCAACATGAATGATCTCTTCCAATTATGTTTATGTCCTGTTCCTTCTGATGCCTGCTGGCTGCAAGAGTGCCAGGAATGCCAGGGGAGTGACGGAATATCAGTGGAGAGCCTATATCTGGATGACTGTGACTCTCAGGAGATCCATTATGCAATGTGGGAAAATGGATTTTTGATCAAGAAAACAACGCCCATTGATGCCTTCGTTGAGGAGGTGACGAAGTTGACTCTGAAAATGATATCCCATCAATACATCAGAAACATTCAGCGCCTTGAAGTCAAAGATGTGAAGAGCAAATGCAAAGAAGACAGTTCTGTATTGATAATGCATTTTGATTTTGCGGAAAACTGGACTATCATAATGCAGAATGAAGTGCAGAGCTACCACTGGGTCAGTTCACAACTCAGCATTTTCACATGCGTAGCATATTGGGGCAATACTGTCGCCAATTTCGCAGTAGTCAGTGATGACCTGCTTCATGATACGGCACATGCGCATCTGGCTATGACGACAGTTGAGTCATTTGCAGCTACACTTCATGGATGCATATTTCAATTCACCACATACGTATCAGATGGAGCAGCCAGCCATTTCAAAAATCGTTTTCAGCTTTATGAACTGAAAACAACCAGTGACACTGAAAGAAAATGGCTTTTTACAGCAACAGGTCATGGTAAAGGTCCTTGCGATGGAATTGGAGAACTGGTGAAGAACCACGCCACATTTTACCACCTAACTCATGTTCCAGTCGATTCCATCCAAACTCCTGAGGAACTTCATGCCAAAGTGGCACCCATCATGAAAAATGTGCATTTTCTGATTTTGCCTGCGGCAACAGTTCAAGATTACCGCAACAAGAAAAAAGAGGAATGGACCAACGTGCAAGCAGCCAAAGGGATCCAGCGCAGCCACTATTGGTCTTCAAATTCATGGCGAGATCCGTTCGACACGAGATGAAGGAAGTGGTTCTAAAAAAATAAGAAATGACACTGAAGATTGTATGAATGATGAGCTGTGCGATTGTCCTGAACTTCGTGCGAATGTACTGAGATGCGGATTAAATAAGAATGTTTCCACAGAAAATAACAATTCTCTTAGTTTGGGCCTCCAGTGTGTTCCCCAGCGTCCAATAACCTCTTCTGGTAAAGATAATCCTCATATGACCATGTACTTCAGTTAAAATGGTCATACAGCATATTAAGTAAAAACCACGGTGGAGCATTTTTCACATGCTACGCAATTCGACCATTGCATCAGGGTATCAATTCGACAATATCCTTCTAGCCTTCTAGCCTTCTAGCACCAACAAAGAAGAAATGAAGAAAATCAAAGATGGGTTTTTTGAGAAAAAAATTTTCTTTTTCACCCGTTTTTCGGAAATTGACAAAAGTTGCAAGTTAATATTAAATTAAGCATTAATATAAATGCCAAATGACAACAAGAGATGCACAAATGAAATGAGTTCATTAAAATATACTTGATTCAAGATGGGATACAAATTTAGCTGGCAAAAAATTCAGCAAAAACCAGCAAATTCAGCAGTTTCGTCACTTTCGAAAATTCAAAATTATGTATTTATAAAATTATAACTTAGGTTTTTCTCATATGCTTCCACAAGACGTACATTCACGTATGCGAGAAAAAATTTTCAGGATTCTATGCCTATTACTTTAGAAGGTAAAGTAAATTGAAAGTGGGAGAAAACAGGAATTTCACAAGTCGCCCTTTTTAGAGCACCTTCTTCACTTGTGAATTTTTTTCTCCGAAACTATTGCAGATATAGAGGTAAAGAAGATACCATTTGAAAGGGGGGATCACATATATTTTTTTTTTTAAATCCAAGACCTGATAGACCTTGCCTGATTTGAAATGGAATCACCCTTCTTTGAAAAAAAAAATTTTTTGAAAGGCTATTTTACCGTCCAATGGACTGTGGCGCCCGGGGCGACCGCCCCACTTCCCCACTGCCCCACAGTGGCGTAACTAGGGGTGGCCCCTAGTTACGCCACTGGTTGCAAGTAACATGAAAAGAAAAAAATGTACGATGTAATTATGTTAATGAGTGAAGATGAAAAAAAGCTACATTTTGCAACAGTACATTTTTTATTTTACTGTAACTTTTCATCAGTAATTGTACCGAAGAAAGAAGCTGTTATACAGTTTTCTTGACGCCGTTTCATATTCTTTGAATATTTTACATGGAGTTGACGCGATCTGATTTCGCCCTACAGCAGACCCTGACACATCATGGCGCAATTGCCGACCGTTGAAAAGTATGGCTTCTCTCGTTCCAGCCTAGCTAAGCCACCCATCCATGTGCTGCAAATCGGCGAAATAACACGATCGGCATTTTGGAATCCCTTCCCATCGATTCAATGAAAACCGAACTGCAGTATGACACTCCGCTCCTAAGCAGTCATTTTTTAAATCCTCCAAGTAGTCTTGCACACGCCGCGAATACCCAGTTATTATACCTTACTCCTTTGTCCACCAAGAGGTACTCATTCTGTGCATCTTGAGAAAAGGTCTCATACTGACATTTTCATAATGATCGAAAAAACGATGAGAGATGATGTTACGCGAATTGGGGAGAGAAAAACCGCCCTCGCCCCCCAAAAAGCCCGGGGCTTTACTCCATAGCCAGCACCTCGCATCGAACACGTGAATTTTTCCAACAGGGACTTTGGGTCAAAAGGGGAAATTAAGGTCGATTGTCCTCAATCACGCTTGATAGCGAGATATACTACTGCACACATTACCCACCGAAAGAAAAATGCATATAATTTGGATTTTTTCCGGGGGGGGATTTCTGAATTTTCTGAGAAATTTCTGAATAGAAAGTTTCCATTCATGCACAACATTCTTTAATGCGAATTTACAGATGATTTCGCTGAATTGGAAAAGGATTCCTGAAAAAAGACCCCAAAAAAGTGTTCTCGGGGTGGTTCCATTAAAAACAGGATTTCTCCTGAAATCAGCAACCAGAGAATTACCTGTTCATCAACGTTCAGTTTTCTATCAGGGCTTCGGAACGGAACGAAAACCGGAACGAAAGACCGGAACGGAACGGGAAAAATCCCTGGAACGGAACGGGAAAAATCCCTGGAACGGAACGGAACATGGAACGCTATTCACTGGCGGCAGAGGAACGAAAAACCGGAACGGAACGAAATTGCTTACTCCTGAAAACGAAATTATTTCGTTTCGTTCCGTTCCGGTTGATGGTTATCTTTTCCTTTGCAATTGTGATGAAGGAAGACTAACGTTTCTTCGCTTCTTCGTTGATCCCTTAGTTCCCCCTTCAATCATGTCCTAGACGTAGGCCTTCTGTTGTCATGCCCAACACCTAGGCGAGCCTTAGGAAATGACTCAATTCTATGCAGTCGCTAACAGCAGTTACTATCCATCCACACACTAGTTCAGCCTACATGTGACACGGGACGGAACGCAATGGAAAGGAAATATTTCCTGGGACGGAACGGAAGAAAATAAATAATTGTGGAACGGAACAGAAACCGGAACACTCGGGGATCAGGTGGAACGGAACGGGACGCGGAACGGAAAAATAATCCGTTCCGAAGTTCTGCTTTTCGAAATTTAGAATTAACGTTATTCATTCAGTCCGTCCGTCGGTCACAGGATTTAACGAATGTCAGGAACCATGGGGAAATAACATTGGTGTCTTTTCCAGCCTAGACTGTCTGGAACTCACAAGGAATCCACGTCGATACGGGAATCGCAATTAACTCTTAACCTCAACATCGGGTTCAAGTGACCCAAAGTCACTCAGGCTACTGAAGGCACCCTGAATCAATTTTAGTAATCTTGGATCACCGTAGGATAATTAGGCTCTAGTTGGGTCAATGGGTCAATTTGGGTCATTCAACATCATTCTGGACCACTTGGACCTGATTTCGAAATTCATGAAACTTAGAAACCAATGACTGGAATGCCAAAGTTCCAGACTATCTAGACTGGAGAAAATCCCATAGTTATTTACTCGTTTTTCTTTACTTCTTTTACGCTCTGTATATTTTAGATGTCATCTCAGTCTTCTGATGTCTCATAGATCAAAGTACAGTGAATTCCGCTAAATTGGGCCATCGTTTAATGGGGGCAGTCGGTTCATCGGGACATTTTGTCAGGAACAGAATCATTTCTATGCAAGTGCATTACAATTTCGCCGCATATTCGGGACGAAAAGCCGCTTTATTGGGGCAAGGTCGGGGTGGGGGTCGGGGGGCAGCCGTCGGTCGGAGATGGCTTTTTCTGTTTCTTCTGCGGATTTGAGTTGAGCAATATTGCTTTGAGCAATATTAGTTCGGGTTGGGTTTTTCCGTTTTTTTTTTTTCCTGGAGATTTTAGGCAGCAGTCCTGGGTGGGGTTTTCTGTTCTTGGTGGATTTAAGCCGTCTGTCCGGGATTGGAGTCCACATCAATATTCAAGATATCGAAGCGCAAGGATTTGTCCCGCCGTGAGAAGATCGTGCTCCTGGACAAGGTTAAATTGCACGTTGAAGAAACGTTGAATAACATATGACTCGAATTCCTGCCCCGAACGCGACGTCGATCATTTAGCCGATGGACCAGGGTGTCATCAAGAAGACTCGTTATAGGAAGGAACTCGTGCAGATGACTCTTGCAGCTATCGAAGACAACCTGATGAACCCGTCGTCCGTGGCCATCGATACGAGTTCTCAGGTCTCGCTCCTCGACGCTGTTCGCTTTGTGGCTAAGAGTTGGTGGGCTGTCAAGTCAGAGACCATCGCAAACCGCTTCCGTAGGGTTGGCTTTCATTCTGGACCAGAGGTGCGAGCGTCGGCCCAGTTTAAAATCCAAACTGGAATATTCCAGCTGGACCAAATCTGTAAATTCGGACCATTTCCAACTGTCAAAGAGCTGGAAAATAGTAGGTACCTGTTGTTTCTTAGGTGGAATTTTCCAACTGGAATGCAGCTGGTTTTAATAGCTGTTTCCAGCTGGAAATTTCCCAGTTGGAGTACCCTACAGCTGGAATGAAGCTAAATTTACAGTTGAATATCGGCTATTCCTGTAAATGGACCTCTGACAGAAATAATCAACAAAAAGTTTCTCATTCAGCTAGTGATATAGAAATTAGGAAGAAATCTGGAGATTTGTCAACATCGACGAACACACACCATGCTTCACCGAATGCGATGACTTCAAAGCCGATACAGTCGAGGAAATTTTTGCCAAAAGGCCTGGCTGGCTTGGGGGATGGCGCAGAGGAGGAGCCTGAGACTTTACCGAAGTCACTCACATTGTGAGTCACTGACATTGATGCCAGGCGCTCAGTGGACATCCTTCAGCGCTTCTTTATTGAGCAAGGATTGGGCAATACAGCACATGGTGCTCTTGGCACTTGTGCCGGAGACGTCTTTAGAAAAGACTTTCAGACATGAAACAAGGAACTATGGATAAATTCCTGGAAACACAACTCTTGTTTTTTTCTTCGCAAATAAAGGACATTCGTGTCTGGGTATCTCATAATTCTTTACTACAAGGTAAGTTCGCTTAATTGGGGCAAAACGACCTGGAACCAACGTGCCCCAATGAAGCGGAATCCACTGTATTTACTTCCTGTTTTGCGAAAATGGTTGACTTTAAAAGCAGTTCCTGGAAATAGAGCATTAAACCATTCTCGCTTGGCTTCGATCATCGGAATCAATTTTTTTTAAAAGTCCAATCAAATGAATTTCATTGTTCTTACGAATGAGAATTCCGTATGCGAATTACGTATTTTTTTATCCTTCGTATGTACGAAGGATAAAAAAATACGTAATTCGTATATTATTGAATGCAGAAAGGGAAGTGATGAAGATATGCATGCGTACGTTCGTAAGGCCTCAGCAGTATTAATGGAATGAAATTCGGATGAAATTCTTTTGCTCTTTTCTCAAAAGCACAGGGTGTTCGCAATCGTCTCCCCAAAAATAAATGCTCAGGTAGTATATATCCGATTACAATGATATATGACTCAAATAATAGCCAATTCAGAATATTCTTATTGTGGAAAATATAAGTATTCTATAAGAAACTACTGTAGAACAAAGTTACACCATAACAAATAAAAGTATCGAGCAACTAAAGTCTGTAAATATCACAATCCCTTCTGAATTTCACAATTCATTAGTGGGTTTTTCATGCATCGCGAGGAATCGTCTCTGTCATGGGTGACCTTTGTATCCTGCGTGAGATGAATACTGCCATTTGGTTTGATAATTTGCAGAGAGCAAATTTGTGCGGGGAAAATTTGGAAAATTCTTCTGCTTGGGTCCAAATGCCTCAGTTCCTGATCATAAGAGGTTTCTCAACCCAGTGGAGTCATTCCGTGTCAAATAAACACTTTGAGGACATTTTTCAGGTGACCCCCCTCAGATTTGGATGAAATTTGGTGTACCTATCAACAATGGTGAGAAAAAAATTCTCATCAAATATTGGGTTCATTAGACCCTTCCTTTGGTATGTCACAAAATTTGAGGCTGAAATGCCTTATTTCGTACCTTGATATAGTCTTCTCCTTGAAACTCTGGTCCTAATTATGCTAGAGAGCTCATCTTAGACTCATTTTTTAGTTCTTTTCCAGTTCTTTCCGTTGGTATTGATACATTTTGATGAATGCTAAAAGTTACCATTCAGTAAGGAGGTCATTTTGATGACCTTTGACCTCACATTGTCAAAAACAACCCTCTTGAATTTTGATGAAAATTGGATAAATCGTAAACAAGACATACGGCTACCTCTGTATCAAATTTTATCTTGGGCGCTTGGCAATTTATGGAGATACCAGGCCATTTGCATGAAATTGATTAACGTGAGAATTCAACATTATTATGGGCACCTATGGGAATGCATTTAACAGTTATTTCCATTGAATCCAAAGTAAAAATGAACAATGTAACCTTGATTCAATTCAATGCATTCTGCAAGTGCATTTAATGCACAAGTAGTATTATGCCTATATTAAAGAAAGTTTCTACTTCCATGCTTGGAAGTGAAAAATAGTTCATATGCAGCATGACTTCATCTGAGATATGAAGTTGTGCAAAGTGATTGCTGACACTGCTGAGCACAACAAAACATAAATATATAATATTTATCTGCTTTTAATTAAATTCCCTTTGTTGACGTTCATTATATAGAAAACTTGAGAGTAGCTACTTGGTCGTATATTTTGGAAGGATAATTGTGCTGAAGAATACACAGTTCTGAAAAACATGTGTACCATTGGTGAATGCCTGAATTTACTGGACTTCTGTGACCACAGAACACTGAAAAGTGTGGACTCCTTCACCCTCGTGGAAAAGGATCTTCTTATTCGAAGGAGCCAGGTGAAGAAAATAGAAGCTGTGTGTGCTCATCATGCAGAACAGTTTCTAAGAACCTTTGAAATAAGAGAAAAATCCTGCTGTGACCCTTTTGGCATTCACACTGGCCAGTCAAGGAAGAGAAACTTCCGAACGATTGATGTAGAAACCTGTGATCAGTACTCAGCAGTTATCCTCCTCATTCCAGGAAAAAAATTGTGTACTAGTTGCAGGAAGATCCTTCCTGAAAAGCTCAGAGAAAGCCAGGAGTACCTTGCAGGATCTTCATCCTCAACATCATCAGTGGCAACACCTGAGACCATGGAAGATGACATCATTCAACCAGGGCCATCAACTCAAATCAAGCGTCTCAATGAATCTCTGCAGATGATGGGAGAAACACCAGTGAAAGGTGAAAAAATGGCCCAGAAGAAATACCCTAAAGAAAATAGAAGGAAGATAGCAGAAACAGTGAATAAACATTTCCAATATCTGTCGGCTAGTCACAACGAAGCCATTGGGTGTGGAAGTGACATCAGCTCTGATGAACCTTCCTGTAGACAAACTGCAGAGTATCTTGAAATTATGAATCAATTGAAAGAAAAATTACAGGAAACGAAAAAGAGGAGTGAAAAAATACAAATCTTGACCATGACTCCAAAAAGCTGGAGTGTGAGGAAGCTGAAGCAAGAATTTGGAATATCAAATTTCATGGCAAGGAGTGTGAAGAAATTGGTCATGGAGAAGGGGATTCTTGCAAATCCCAACCCAAAACCAGGGAAGGCCCTACCAATGCATGATGTTAATATTGTCCAGGACTTCTACTGCCATGATGAAATCATGATGCCTGGAGCGAAGGACTTCGTCTCTGTGAAAGAAAGTGATGGGAGGCAGCAGAAGCAGAAGAGACTTATCCTTGGAAATTTGAAAGAGATCTATGAGACATTCAAAGAGAAGAATCCACAACTCAAGATAGGCTTTTCTAAATTTGCTGAGCTGAGGCCTAAGAACTGTTTGCTGGCTGGAGCCAGTGGTACTCATGCTGTATGTGTTTGTATCATTCACCAGAATGTGAAACTAATGGTACAAGCTGTAAACTTCTCTCACAGCAAGCAACACTTTTCAAATGAAAACAAACCGTGATATCCTCTCCTTAACAACATGTAATCCTGCCTCTGATGAATGTTATCTGAATCAGTGTACCAATTGTCCTGGTACAGCAAGAATCAGAGCTCAGCATCAAAAAGACTTTGATGACAGAATGATGGACTCCATCATCTACAAACAATGGGTGTCAACAGATAGGTCTACTCTGGAGACAATGGTGAAAAGCACTGAGGAGTTTCTGGAGTACTTCCTTGAAAAGATCATCATTATGAGAAAACATGATTTCATTGCCCAGCAGCAATCATCATTTCTTCAGGAGACAAAGGAAAACCTTGCTGAGGGTGAAGTCATTGTTCTTCTAGATTTTCCAGAGAACTATTCCTTTGTTCTTCAAGATGCTGCACAAGGATTCCATTGGAATAATAATCAGGCTACAATTCATCCTTTTGTTTGCTATTTTAAGAATTTTGACAAAGATGTGAATGATGGAAACGAACTGCAACACTTGAGCTTTGTCATCATAACCAACACTCATACATGACAGTCACAGTTTATACCTTCCAGAAGCATCTAATTTCACTGTTGCATGAAGAGGAGGCAACAGTTGGCCTTATTAAGAAAATTACCTATTTCTCAGATGGTGCAGCTAGCCAGTATAAAAATAAAAAGAATTTTTGCAACCTCTGCTTTCATGAGGCTGATTTTGGAATTCCAGCAGAGTGACACTTTTTTGCCACATCACATGGCAAAGGGCCATGTGATGGCGCTGGTGGTATAGTCAAAAGATTAGCTGCAAGAGTGAGCCTCCAAAGACCATATGATCTGCAAATTCAGATCCCCCAAGATCTCTTTTTGTGGGCCAAAGAGAATCTGAGAACTATAAGGTTTCAGTTTGTCCTTGAGACAGAGATCAAAGAAACGCAGAAGAAGCTCCAAAGATGGTTTGCAGGCATACAGGCAATTCCTGGGACACAGAGTCTTCATTGTTACATTCCTCTATCTTCTATCAGAGTGAAACAATTTTCAAAATCAAGCACATTTGCAGATGTCAAGTTCAACACTCCAATGGAGATGTCATATTCGAGCATTTGTGACATGTGAATATGGTGGACATTGGTATCTTGCAAATGTTCTTGCAAAATTTGAAGACAATGAGGAAATTCTTGTTTGTTTCCTTCATCCACATGGTCCAGCCCCTTTATTTTCCTATCCTCACAAATCTGATGAACTTAGAGTACATCATAGTCAAGTCCTTTCACTAGTGAATCCCTCAACAGAAACAGGACGTACGTACAAACTTTCCAATGAAGAGATGGTGGATGCATCATGTCTTCACAAGAACAAGAAATAGAGGGAATGTACCATCAATACTTTTTGTCTTGGTTCTGTGATTGGTGTACTGATTTCTTTTTATTGTGTTCCAGTTCTCTGTAGTGCATTGAATTGGAAGGCATTAATGAATGAAAGAATGTTATTGTAGCAATCACTACTTTACTTGTTATTTTGGAACTTCTAGAGAGCCCAAAGTAAAATTTAACACAGAGGTAGCCATATGTCTTGCCTACAAACCAGCCAATTTTTATTAAAATCTAAAATGGTTGTTTTTTGTAATGTGAGGGTCAAAGGCCATTGCCATGACCTCTTCACTAAAAGATAGCATTTATCATTTTGCCAAAAACTAGTCCAATCTCTGGAAAGGACATGAAAAGAGCTTTCAAACAATCCAAAGAAGAGGTCTCTAGCACAATTGGGGCAGAAGTTCTGAAGTGAAGACTGTCTCAGGATGCGGCCGGAAGGCATTTAAACCCAAATTCTCATGACCTCATATCTGAGGAACAAGAAGTCAAATGAACCCAGTAATTGCTGTGGATCACTCTCTAACAGGTACAAATAAGTCTGCCAAATTTCATTGAAGTCGGAGAAAGTCACCTTTTAACACTGTGTTGATTTGACACGGAATGACCCTATAACATACTGTACATTTTTTTAAAGTGTAATCATCTGAAAATGACAAATGCTAATTTAAGTTGCACCCAAGTCAATTATGTGAATAATATTTTTTGGAAATGTATTAAACAGAAATGGAATTAGAATGAGAAAATATGAACACTTTTATTGCCATACAGCCACTGGTGGTGCAGTATTTTTCCAGTATTGCTTGTTAGCAGCTTGTGGATATTTGTTACAGACATTCACACCTCAGAATGCAGGTACTTTTTAAATACCTGAGTGGAACTCTTTAAGTGTTGAAGACAAAAGCTCCCTAATCACCACAGTGCCCAAAATTTGAAATTAACTTCATTGTTTCTGGAATGATTGGTGAAGACAGACAACATTACTGGAAAACTACCAGATTTGGTCTTGAGCACTTCTGCCGAGCCTGGTATGATCTTGTATTTTTCCAGCCACTGGGACAATTGAGTTTGGTCCAATAGAGGAGTGAAGTAGAAAAAGTTTGGAGATGCAAGAGAGGTTCAAGTCCCTTCTAAATCTGTATAGATAGATATAACGTTTTATGCATGATGAAAAATCTGAAATGTAATAATAATATACTTCATCCATCATTTGTGATTTAATTAAGTCATAATTTATGAATGAAATGTGGCTTGCTTTAAGCACTTCTTTCATGTACTATATGGTCAGAGTGTCAAGCCTGCTGTTTCCTTAAGCCATTCTGTTGAGCAGCCTGTCTGAGTGAAAGAGCTCACTGTCTGCTATTCCATGATGCAATTTCTTCCTATTCAGCTACCCATCAAGGGGAAAAAGTTCTTGAAGTCTTCTTTCTTATCCTCCTGATATACAGATATGTTAACAAAATTAATATTGAAAAAGTCCTCATGGCCCCATGAGGACTTTTACCATATTAACCATATTAAACTATAATAGTTCCAAACTAATAATACTTCCATTCAAACAACCTCACTGATTGTGTGAATCGTGGTATGGTCAGCGATGAGGTGGTGTATAGAGTGATATCAAAACTTTGTGGTGACATCATCAGTTACAGTTGCATGAAGCAAAGAAATGTATACTTGCAGGTATTTGATGAAGCTGCAGAAAGAGTGCACTTTGTGGATTCAGAGCCTGTATGGGTCATCGGGGAAGATGTTATCGTCAAATATGATGTTGCAGACTGCTATTCTCCAAATGCTTGGGATTTTATTGCTCTATATAAGGTATGGAATGAGATGAAATCATGTCTCTCTTGGTGATTGAAAAGTTACTGCCAGAACTATTTCATTCATTTTTCTTTTTGGAAGAAGTTTCCATTCCCATTATGGTTGGATGTGGTCCACACTGATAAAGACTGGACTGATTTTGAAAGTTGCAGCTTGGTTAAATCTCATCACTACTGGTAAAAGTATATTTAGCTGAAATGATTGCCTTTGAGCAGATTGGCTTACAGAAAGCTACTCCACGAAAGATGAATGCTGGAGATGTTTTCACATGCCATTATCTTGGCAGCAGCTGAGGTGACTGGATTTGAGTTGACAGTTAGAAGAGTACACTGAAGTTATCTCTTGTTTTCCTGCATCAAAGGATAAGCTGTTGTTAATTGAAGAACCTGGCAAAATCATTTTCAGAATATATGTCCATTCATCCAGCATGATGAAATGGAAAAGATACTTCAAATTAAACAATGTATGAATATGAAAGCAATCACTTCTATCTCGCTTGAAATAAATGTTGTTCCTGGCAGTAGCTGATCTCTTATGCATTTTCTCCTTGCAGGCTGATTTCTTCTCTTTGGACTCATATGT